GCTCTGCTTCCGGAGAAGGACCTAAAGCTAGATAAATTGCAGGGGTGAGGATGAAGCTGGATTGGAAATGGGAGTTACTGAGTTAGGGTACTATTTATAGTTTTGACTCTTTTTTTTTAAAAAAAAAAAGAACCGCAATTTTTTATATGTAGACCAAATCAACGGGAGATTCTCAGCCCGATGATTTCTTGCTTTGTCCGTCAGTTGCAGACACAGCAGGTAGCTCGAACTTGTGGGAAGATATGATACATATGCACACACCAAAAACGTAAGCGCGTCCGTGAATGTGATAAATATTGAATTAGAAAACTATGTATACGAGGAGAAAACCGGCCAAGAGAAGCTTCCTTTGGATTTCTTTTTTTGTTAACATTGAAACAAGGCTTATTTTACGCAAACTTCAACATGATGAAAGGGGGATTCAAAGGTTAGGTATAGCAGAAGCAGGAATAAAAATATGAGCGCACATGAAGATGCAGGAGGGTGTTCCATCAATGAATGAGGCACAAAATTAAACGTTGCTGCCGAACAATTAAAGTTCACAAATGAGAACCATGAGACGGGGTCCTCCAGGTCGTTGTTGCTTTCGTTGTCGGTAAATGACATGTTACCACGTGACCCTGCGGGCCCTCATTGACATAGAGGTTGGAAAATATATTCACCACAGCTTAGAAAAAATAATTATATATTGACTTCATTTACCTTGGGGGGCTCCATTATTAGAGGCGGCTGCAATGTTCGATTCCCTCATTTTCAACTTTCAAGTTTACAAATGAGTCTATCCATGAAAGCTGGTGCATGATTGTAATGATTACACAGCCAAAGTGCTCCTAATTTTCATTCAAATGTGGGATCATCGATTGGTTAGTCTATGGAATATCCAACGCGCAGTGCATGTATAAGCTTCCAATATATATTGTGATTTGCACCATCACACAACTTGGAGTCCGCCACGACTCCTCTCCGCGTGTGAAGTTAATAGTACCAAGATTGTATTTGCATGCAAAAGTAGAAAAGGACTTTCACAGTGCTTCACAATATTGAAATTTCGAATTAACCCGTTGTTAATTATTAATTTTCCACACTATGATGAGGGGAATCCATCCTCTGAATAGTGATAGTCTACTCCAGAATCAATGATAGATTACTTTGGTCTAAGAGAGAAGTCAAGTGGGGCAAGCAACCAAGCTGTGCTATTAATTTTCTACAGAAAGGCTACGTACGTACTGGGTTTTTTCCTCTCCTATTCGAAATTAACTTTAGCCTGGATCGCAGTCGGATCTGTTGAGGTTACGCACTTAAATTTTTATATATTATATTTGTTTAAACTATCATATCTATATTTGAGATTTTAAAAAATATTTATTATTATTCAAAATAATTTGATGAAAATCTCTCTCTCTCTCTATATATATAGACACACAAGCGTATCCTATTTCTTTCCATCATTCATAATGGACACCATTATTATAATTTCCATCGTGAAATTCATCTCTGTGGGTCTTTTGTCCCTTATATTGAGGAGTTTTTGACATTAAATTTTCAATGTTATCTTTCATTATTTCCTCTAACTTTTCTATAATTTTTAATTATTTAATCTTGTTTAGTTCTGTTTATTATTTGTGAGCTTCCTGCATTAATAATGCTCTGACTTTACAATGATCTCTACGTGGCTCTATTATCCCTCAAAGCCCATCTAGAGTTTTCACTCTTGAAGAAGTGCTTCCAGAAGTCGTGTGTGTGTGAAACAGCATTAACGACGTTAATGATCAGCTCTCTGGCATAAATTAAGAATAAATGGTGTCTTGCTAATTAGCTGGAGGCAACCATTGCAGTTAACAGCTGCAGCAGTACCCCTTGTTCATGTCACAGATGGCGATGGCTTCGTTCCTGCAAGAACTAAATGTTCCTGACATCTTGGGTCCCCTTAATGTGATTGTGATTAGGAACATGTCCGTTATTCAAAATGCAATGCATGTTTTCATCATTTTTAAGGATGTGACCTTTTTTTTCTCTTTCTAGCAAAGCAATTCATTCGAACCTTACTTTTTTTATTTGGAAAAAAAAATAAAAACTCCCCCTTTCTCTTGATTTTTAAGGATGTGACCTTTTTTTTTTCCTTTTCTAGCAAAGCAATTCATTCGAACCTTACTTTTTTAATTGAAAAAAAACTCCCCCTTTCTCTTAATTTTAAAAATGTTAAAATTTTATGGTCTTATTTTTTTTAATATTTATAAATATCAGTGCCTCGGCGGCAGGATGACGCTATGCATGCTTTGGCTAGGAACAGTGGAGAATATCACTTTCTTTTCTTATTTGGCCAACCAGGTTTAGTTTCAGCATCACCTCAAAAATTAATTTTACTAAGAGGCCGCAAAGTGAATTGGGTTATAGTTGGCATAACATTTGTGAGATCGTTGTGACGTTTATTGTAACTTTCAATCCTTCCTTTATACATTTGGATTTGATTCCCTTCACTTTCTTGGTTTCCAATCCATTTAACGCTCTTCTCTCACTTCCCACCAAACCAAACCAATTTTTTAAATAGAATTTCAATGAAGATTCCCATGCCTTTATACTTATTTAAATTTAACACCTTTAAATTTTAAAAATTTCAATGCAATTCAACGATATTGATTTGATATCAAATTTTTAAGAAAAATAATAAAATTATCTCTTATTTAAATTAATATCAGAATTGTCCTACCTCATTTATTAATTACTTTAATTTCACTTGTTCATTTTCCTAAATAGGGCAATAAATAATAGTTTATAAGTAAATGAAAAACGTATATTATAATAATTAACAAGTGATCTTAAGGTTTGCAGCAAAAAAAAAAAAACAAGTGATCTTAAGGTGATTTAAATAAAAAACAAGTTAAGTAGGATAATAATTAACATTTCATAAATAAATTAACAAGTGAAGTATGACAATGAACAAGTAGAGTATGAAAGTTCTTATATTAATTTAAATGAGGAGTGATTTGTCATTTTCCTCAGAAATTTAATGTCAAATCTCCCCTAGACTGTAGTATAATTTTAAAAATTTAAGGGGCTTTGAATTTAAATAAATGTGGTCAAGGGATCTTTATTAAAATTCTTCAATTTTTTTATCCACTTTCAATACACGCACAAAGACCGTCTACTCCTGACAAACAAAATTAAGCTAACTTTCCAACTAATTAAATAACTTTTATTTAATAAATTTTACCGAGGATCATTTTAAAATTTTAAAAACATTCATTAATTTAACTGATTTTACTAATCTATATAGAAAAGTGTTAATAGATCATTATAACAAGGATCAGAGGGAGTAAGATATTATAATACATCTTTTTTTGGTACATCATTATAATTTTATAATGCATCTTGACTAATAAGTTTGGAAGGTCCGACATGGCAGGACATGATATTACTCTCGTACGTGGGTTAGGCCCACTATGAGTTGAGTGGCTCTTGGACTAAAATGAAGTTCTGACGCCTTCAAAGAAAATTAATAAAACAAGAAAAGTAAAAGAGGCTGGGTTAAGTATTTTGGGTCCACATTCTGCCAATGCTTCTCGGTTGAAACTTGGAGCTCACACATAAGCCACCCGGTTCTCTTGTCCATGCACGATGGATCCATGGGTTCCCCATTCAACTGTGAAATCGTTGAGTCTTGGACTCGAAGCAATGAACTTCAATAACTTGACATTTTAAGTAACTTTAGAAGCAAAACAAAATAAATTTCAATAGATTTTAATCTGGTTTAACATGTTTTTTCATCGATATAATAAAGATAAGTCCAATAATTAATATGAATTTGACTCGTAACTTGTAAGATTGTAAATTTAAATTTTGATGGCAATGTATGTGAAAACTTTGCTAATAAATGATTCATAAATATTTATAGTTGGAGGTATGTAGTTTTAATCTTGGCAAACCCTTGAGACTAAGCTTATCTAAACTTTTCACTAGCAAATTCTTTTTAATAATTTCTGAATTGTTTATTTAAAAAAATAATTCATATATATATATATATATATATATTATATATATGTTGCCGTTCAAAGACTGAATGGTATATACTCAGAAACACAAGACGGGAAGAATTTTAGAGGCTTGTGTGGTGGGTAATTAAGAACGAAAGGGGGTGTTCATCCGGATCGAGTCAGCCAGACACGGAAGCACAGAACACAATAGCCAACACAAGTTGCTCTGCCCTCCTCATTAAATTCTTAATTATATTAAGAATTAATTAGTTGCTTATAATTCACACATCTCTTTTAAATAACTTCAACGATTCGGTGACGATCCTTCCAACTTCTACTCATGTACAACATACCTTTATTGTTTTATATCCACTGCCATTCTGTTTCTGTGACTCTATCATTAACCAGTCTCCTTTCTAATTAGCTTCTCTTCCGTGTTTGATGGGATTTCTGCACGTTATCCTCATAGTTGTTCATTTGTTGAATTAAAGAAATTCAACGTCGGATACTTCTATATATATATATATATACATATATATGTGCTAGCTAGCTAGAAAGACATGTCCAATAATCAATACTCGTATGACCTGATTGGATTCCCCAGAAATTTTATTTCATGACTGTGTGACGCAGAGCGATGGAGTCCTGCGTCCCTTTCTTTGGCTACGAATTCTCGAGAATATATCTTGTTGGTGATTAAATAACTAGAAAACGTCTTCGCCCTTTTTGTTTTTAGTGGTGCTGCAAAAACTTAAACATAAGCTAAAATCTCCCGTGAATCATTACTATTTTAAACCACTGAAAGGCAAAATAAGTTACTTGTCTATCTGCACTGCAATCCACAAAACACCAAAATAAAGAAAGAAATAGTTATTCTTTTGATGCAGAAAACCAAACACATGCAATCTTGAATGTTGCTTTCTAAGACAGCAAATCCAAAGTTGACTTTCACTCGTCATTGTCTGCATGGAGGCCTATATATGCAGTCACACACACAAACACACACACATGAGTTATTAGGGTGTTTTTTCCAAAGATCAAAGACACCGAGACTGAGAAATTCTTAAAAAGGAGAGAGAGATGGGGAGAGGGTCATGTTGCTCCGAGAAAGGAGAAGTGCTGAAAAGAGGAGCATGGACTGTTCAAGAGGACAAGTTACTCACTTCTTACATCATGGCCCACGGCGAAGGCAAATGGACCCACGTCCCTAAAGCGGCTGGTAATTTAACTTCGATATTTATCCCTCCTTTTCTTTCCTGAGCGTGACGTTAATTCCAAGTATAAAAATGCAGGCTTGAACAGGAGTGGCAAAAGCTGTAGGCTCAGATGGTTGAACTATCTCAGGCCTGACATCAAGCGAGGAAACATCACTAGCGATGAAGAGGATCTCATCATCAGACTCCATAAACTTCTCGGCAACAGGTTGCTAATGCTCACTCTCCCTTGTCATTATTTCATGGTTCGTGTATATGTAGTTTATCTGACTGACTTACTCTTCCTGATTTTTAAATATACATCATTTAGATGGTCTCTCATAGCTGGAAGGATACCCGGACGAACAGACAATGAAATAAAAAACTACTGGAACACAACTCTGTCAAAGAAGCTTAGAACACAATCATGTGAAATGACGACTGAGCAACATCCAGCGAGCAAATCAACAGCAAGGAAGCCCGACGATACCCCGTCACCAGTAATCCAAACAAAGCCTTGGAAATGCAAACACGTGGTTATCCGACATCCCCCATGTCCGAAGGAAAATTTGCTCGTTTCAAACCAGATGGAGTTTGAGGAAGCTGGCATAACCACCCAGTTCACTAATGAATCTCGAAACTCACCTGCTCCAGAGCCTCAATATGTCCATGAAAATCATCAGTTTAATGAAAATTATGATCTTTGCTCGGACATGAATCGTGATAGCAGTGTGGCCAGGCATGCTCATGATGATCAGTGCGGAGCTAGTGACCAAGTTATGTTCAATGGCTGGACCACAAGTGGCTTGGAGGTCGACTTCAATAGCATTGCCATGTGGGAGATAGATTCATTGGCCCTCCTCCTGGAATCTGAGGTTCTGGATGTGAGTCCAGTGAATTGATTTGCACTGCGAGCGCGTCTAATTAAGGGCAGATTTTGTGACGTATGAATAGTGAACAAAAAAAAAAAAAACATCTCTGTCCCGATGGCTTTGTTTTCCGGCCCCATTGTTTAATCGAGATTTTAGTATCTTTGTTTTTTCTTTTGTCTAAGGATTGTGTGACGTATGAGTGAAGGAACTTTCCTTTTTTCGGCATCCAAAGAGTGAAGGTGAGGGAGAAATGAGGAAATTGGGTATTATGTCTATTTCACTAACAAAATGAGAACTCAAGGGTTTAACATTGTACATCCCTCGCTGATGGAAGTTTGCACTAATTCATGTAATACAGCTGACATTAGCAGATGATGAATATATGCATAATTAACTTCCTAATAAATTCTGACTAACTTAATCTGGCTTTATAGCCTGATCACAGCCATAAGCTGTACCTCTCCAACTTGCACTACTACAAAAATGACATACAAAGAGCGCTCCCATAATTTTCATAGAACTAAAACTTATAAAGCCTATGAAAGCGCTTTTAGGGGAACCTCTCCTTTAGGCCATGCTAGCTATGGGAGCATTTTAAAAGTGTATTCATAAGTTAAAAATAAGCACTTCAAAAAGTATTTTTTGTAATAGTGTTGCTAAACTAAATCTAACCACATTATATGATATAGCTGCATTATCTCACGAATGAACGAATTAATTTCTCTTTAGATCAAATTTTGTGTAAATTTATATATAAGTCTATCTCTTTTATAAAAATGACATCGAAAATTGATATTTCAATGTTAAATTTAAATATGAGGATTGTAGTTTGATCTGCAGATAATTTGCAATGCTTGATATGTTAAAAAGCCAGTTCTAAAAGTGTGTAATAAAATGTGTCCTTCTTAATAAATAGAAAGAGATGAGTAATTTTACATCATTGATCATTTTGTGAGATATATAGTTCTTAAAGAGAGATCCTTTGTAGCAGTGGAGAGGGTTGGCAAAAACCATGCAACTGCTTAGTATATATAATACAAGAAGAATATGAGTTGAATGATTGATTTGGATCCTCTTCATAATTTTTATCAATATCTCTCCCCATATGCAAATTCATCCGATTATCTGGTTTAATTATGTAAGATCCCTAATTATAGTATTAAACTAAATATGTTATTCATTTAAATACTATCAAAACAACGAAGCATCTCCAAAAACATTTAAAAGATAATAATAAAGGCATGACCGTTAAATCAAGTGGATAATCAAATCAACGGATGAAAATGTGTACGTAGCTAGAGATGTACCGCGCGAGAGAAATAAACTCGGTAGAACAAAGATTTTGTTCGAGTAGTGCATTTATCTATCGATCTTATGCCAGTTTTTCCAATAAATTTATACTCGTGATTCTTATAATAGACAAATAGCTAATTCTCTCATAAAAAGGTCCTGGAGGGAGTATTAGATTGCCTCACAACAATATTGATATGTTACTCTTTTACCCAATCTATATAGGAATAAGCTACATAATAATCTGAACCGTTGGATTATCTCAAAATTATATTATCATTTCAATGGTTCAAAGTGAAAATCTTGTCATCAGCATATTCAGCTTAACAACAAAGTCAAACAACTCATGTAATTTTTGCATTGAAACTTAATCATTACATTAAATATAGTTTCTACTAATTTAATTTTGATTATATACTATAGTATGTATGTTTCATTGTATTTTATAAGTTTTGAAACTTACATGTGCGGTAAGAGATAATTATTAAAAATGCAAATTTAAATATTTATAATAATAGTATAATTATGTAATTTCCTCAAATTTAATATTTTTTTTATCATGTCTGAAATCTAATTACTACGTGCTCGCGTACGTACTTGACGTAAATCAATCCTTACACAATATAATATATACAGCACAAGGTTGACTAATAAAATTAAGCAATCAATCAAAACCAATATATGTTATAAAATGTGAACTGTTATCTGAAATAAAATAAACAATAATTGGTCTGAAATGTGCAACTTGTTTTATGGTAAATTATTCAAGGCAATATGGTTTAATTAGCTGACATAAATATGTAACTTGGTCGAAATTAAATTAAATAACTTATTTTTCCCATATACAAATAAATGCTCATTTCGATTATAAATGTAAAACTCAAATCAATAAAGATAGTTTTCAATGTAAATGATTAAAATGAGGGGTTTTCTTACAAATAACCTACTTAACTAATTTATTTAAGAAATATAAATTAGCCATATAGCTCGTATGTATTTTAGGTCCAAAGACAGTAGCTCATTGCTTCCCCCAATATAGGATACGGTCTTTATTTTCCAAACTTATACTGAAGACTGCAGCTAGCATTACTTACTCATGACACTGACACTTGCCATGAAATCTTCATTTCTAAGAATACAGCTCTGCTTCTACAGAGTCATCTCTTGCTTGCTGTTCCCATAAGCTATCCTCAATAATTGGAGTAGAATGAATCTTGTACGGCCTTTTCATTAATTAACCTCTATATCGTTATTTATATTATGATCAAATTAAATTATAGATAACAGTATAATAACTGCGGAGGCTGAAGGACTGCGTATGAGGTATGATGGATTTGGATTTGATGATTGTAAGCACTGAACATCTGTACCATCCAAGTCATTGAAATCAATATCAATAACTCAGATAAATTCACTTATTTATTAATCTCAAATGAAGCATGACTTCAAAACCATTTATCTAAATTTCAACTGTTAAAATGATATAAACACTCAATACATATATTAAGTACAGTTGCTGAATCTAAATTCAAGTATGATAACATTTTTCAGAAGATCCCTGATTATAGTTAAAGTCACCTAGAACAAACATTTAATGTTTAATCTTAATCCTTCGCTATTTTTGGTTGCGGCCAATAAGTGAACAAATGAATCATCTGAATTGAATCATCATTAAATAAAAATATGATGCTTCGGCTGAAAAAATCCGGTCAGGAGAATTTTGATGAAATAAAATATTATATTTTTCCCAAAAATATATATTTTTTATTTACTGATAATAAATTGATAATTTTTTTTATTTATTTTTTGGCTTTATCTAATTGCTGATGATCCTTCGTTATGCGCCCCTAAAATAGAGATGTAACGAGGCTAGGTAACAGCATTTTTAAGTGTCTTGCTAACTTCTTCTTCTTCTTCTTTTTTTTTGGGTAAACATATGTATGTCTTACTTACTTTGACTAGATTAATTTACGCTTCATTTAACAGATCCTTCCGTTTCCACTCTTGAGCAATAAAATGAAATTGTGCGTTTAACCTTTAAGTATGTGTTTAATATTCACATGTTCTGTTAAAACTAATGACACATATAATGAATTGACTCTACCAAAACCATCCATTCGACCATGCAATTGCCATCAGAAAGAGCTTCAAATAAATTAAAGTGCCTTGCAACCAACAAAAGCAGAGCAAACAACAAAAAAAGTAAAACATTAACCAAAATCTCTAAAAGAAGAACGATCAAACTTCAAAAGATTAAGTAAAGGAATTGAGTGCTGAGCAACCCAATACAGAGGAACCCAGTTTGCCACCATATTAGCTTCCTTGGGAACTCAAGAGAACAAAGAGTTCCTTAAAAAATTCCTCTTAAAGAGGATGTTCTCAAAAGAGTAAAAACATTTCCATTCGGCAGAAGCCAATCTTAAATTTAAACAGTTAACAAGACATTTTGAATTAAATTCAAAAAATATATAGGTTATGAAGACCATTGTGAACTGCAAATTCAACTGCACACTCCATAGCTAAGAATTCTACTTTGAGAGCAGAAGAGGCAGCACAAATCCCTGATGATCCATCCACACACCTTCCATTACAATCTTTGACAAGAAAAATAATCGCAGCATGCTTTAGGTTCTCCCTGAAAGCACAATCAGTATTAATTTTTAAATAATTTCCCAAGAGAGCAACCTAGTTTTGACATTGGTCAAATTCAGCATGATCAACAACAGTACCAGCATTATTAAACCAGCCATTAGCATCCCAAAATTCAAAAAGCATATTATTCGCACGACTATTAACAAAACAAGGGTCCACCATGACCTTGAGCATCTGGATTTTCAAATATGCCAAAGAATACATGCAATGAGAGCTTTTTGCCTCTAATCCAAATTCATATCTAAAAGCCAAGAGGCAAGCCATTAGTTCAATGAAGATACATTGAACTCAGTAATTATCAAACTTGTTCACGCGATTAAAGTATACTTTTCTTTGCCATTATTTCATTAAAAAAACTGAACTTTGATTGATGTTTATTGTTAATTATTTATTATAATAATTAATTAGAATATTGGAGACTTTAAAATATTTGAGTGCGCAGATATTGACTTAATTGACTTTTCCCTTTTGCACACATTAATTAAAAAGGTTTTCAAGATTTCTTCCCACTAGTCTAATTATATAGTTTCGCGACTTTTAAAAAATAATGGTTAATATTATTAAATTAAAAAATGTAATTTTTCAAATTTGCCTTTCATTGAAATGAATGATCAAAATAAAAAGTGTTTAGGAATTGAAAGTTTGCCAAATTATAAGACATTTTCCATCCAAATTATAAGACATTTTCAACCATGTTTCACATGCCAATAAAAGTAATTATTTCTTTAATCCCAAACAAAAATTGTATGTCTTTCCTTTTTTGCTCTTAATCTTTTTATTATGAAGAGTGAAAAAAGTGTTTAGTTCTATTATATTTCTCATACTTACATTAATTAATTATTTCAAAGCTAAGTTTAAAAAAAATTTAAAAAAGACTAATCATGTCTTATATTTTGAACAAAAGTTTAGCTGAAAAATGTTTTGCAATTTGAACCAAGAGAAGTACAACTTTATCCTACATATAGCACCAAAATTAATAGAGCCTTTTCGGAGGAATAAACGCAGACATAAACACGCGAAAAAATGTCGTATGTGAACATACCATTTCCATCAATGTGTGTCTATAATTTTTAGGGAGAACGACAAATAAATTTTAAGAGGATTAATTAATTTAAAAGAAGTCTTAAAGTGTTAAATTTTTAAAAATTATAAATTTAACTCTTAATTTTATAATTTTATTATGATAAATTTATAATTTATTTTTTAAATTTTAATATAGTTAAGAATAAATAAATTTATTTTTTATTAACATTAAAAATATAAATTATAAATTTATCACAATAAAATTATAAAATTAAAAGTTAAATTTATAAATTTTTAAAGTTTAACATATTATTTTTTAAAAAATTAATTATTTTTTTGAAATCTATTTATCATCTTTCCTAATTTTTATCCTGGGATCCGTAAACCTAGAGATTGACCTCGATCATGGGTCCTGTGCACAAAGTTGAAGTTGAAGTTAGAGTTTCAAAGGGTTAGGTGAATTATTATTGAATTTGTTAGCGGAAGGGGCAGAGTAACTTCCTATGGCTATGATTCCATGTCGGACATGTTGCCACGTGATATTGAATATCAATTCATTCATAACCCGATTAATTCGCCACCCCTTGGAATTCATCGACATGTATCTTGACAGAAGCTGCCCCTGGATCTGCTGTCTTCGTTTGTTTGTTTCTTGCCCTCAAGCCAAGTCAACTAATGTGAGTTAAGAATTTCTCCGTTACGGTGCCTATTAATGATTACGCCACTTGGTGCTTGTACATTACTGGACCACGCGGCCCTGTATTCATGGAGATCGATGCTACAATGACAAAGTTGCATCAGTCAATTACTTCTCCGTGTGTCGATATTGCCCAAGAACAACACTAATCTCCGCAAGAGTAGGGAGGAGCATATTCAAAGTTCAGCAATGCATTGCCACGTGATTTAGAAAAGTTTTATCATTTTATTTTTTTAAATATTATAATTTTATTGAAGTCATCATACATTTTTATATTATTAATAAATTAATATAAATAATTAAATTATCTTTAATTCAAATTGATAGATTACCCTTGACATATGAATTTGTAATTTGGCATTGTATTATTGAAATTTTAAGAATGAAAGTTATAATTTTTTAAATAAAACTTATAATTGACACTTGTTATTTTCAACACTTTAACAATATTAAGAATTTTACATGTGAACTTGTAATTTGTTATTGCATTCTTATAATTTAAAAAAAAAGTTGTGATTTTTTTAAACAACACTTGAGACAAAATTAAAGGTAATTTAATCATTTATATTAATTTATTAATGATAAAAAATTTTTAAGAGATTTTAGTGAAAGTATAACATTTTGAAGGATCAAATTATCATTAACATTTATATAATTTTAAAAAATTTTATTATAATTTTTTTAATTAATTTGCCGGGTTTTGAAATTCATAAAACGTATCTGACTTCTTATTAAGCTTTGCTGATAAGATTTCGAGTCAATCACCAAATGATCCTGCCACTTAAAAAAGTTGTCCACAATAAATATGTACATATATAATTTACGGTTAGACTTCACTCGTGTGCTTGATCGAATTTCCAACACAGTTCAACTACTTCCCGAACTTGCTCCATTTTGGTTGAGACGCGCACTCAGCATGAAAGATGATTCACAGTAAACTGCTTGGGCATGGGAATTAGGGGGCCCATGTGATAATTAAGTAACTTTAACCCTGCATGTCTGTGTGTGCGGGCATGTGCATGCAGGTTAAAACTTTATAGCGCAGCAAAGGGTAATAAACAAATTCTTTCATCCAATTATATGAGTCTTACAATAATTTAATTTATTAAGGTCCGCCGAATCATCATAGACGTGCCATGGTTCCAAGTTCAAGGATCACTTTCAAAAGTGTTTATAGATCGCCTATGAACAAATTAATTATTCTTTTTATTTAAAAATATAAGATATTTTTTAGGGAGTTGGATGTTAAAAAATTATAAGGCATTTTTAGTATTTTAAAATGTAATCATTACCTTTTTTTTTAAGTGTCCCTATTAATAATGACTTTATAGTTATTATAGAGTATTTGTTAGGGATAAATATGAAAAGATAAGGTTAGTTTGAAAGTAGATAATTACTTTATTGGAGGGTGAGATTTGATTAAAAATGACTTACATTTTTAAATAGAGGGAAAATGATAGTAACAAAATTTAAAGGGAGAATTTCAGTAAAGATCATTACACTTATTTAAATGCAAAGAATTTAAAATTGTGAAATTACATTGCAATTCAGATGTACTAATTTGATATTAAATTTTTGAAAAAAATAATAAAATTACCCCTGATTTGAAGTAATATCATAACTTCCCTATTTATTGTCTTACTTTATTTGTTAATTTACTTATAAAATATTATTAATTTTTTCACTTAATTTATTTTTATTTTAGGTATTCAAATTATCTTAAGATAATTTGTTAATTCTTATACTATATATTATTCATTTACTTGCGAACTTTTATTTATTTCTTCACTGTACTTGTTTATTGTCAAACTTTTATTTTATTTTATTCTAAAAAAATGAACAAGTGAAATAAGATAATTAACAGTATTTTTTAATTAAATAAACAAGTGAAGTGAAAAAATTTTAATATTAATTTAAGTAAAAGGCAATTTTATTATTTCCACATAAATTTAATATCAAATTTTACTGAAATTTTAGAAAATTATGAACTTTGAATTTAAATAAATATAATTAAAGAATCTTTATTAAAAAAATTTAAATTAAAGTTATAATTTTATAAGTTATTAACTAAATCTTTACTGACGCAACCTTCGTTTGCCCCTCTTTTCTTTTCAGATATTCTAACTACAGCGTGCCTCATTTGAAACTGGATATCCTGTACTGAATTTCGGCCCGGCATTTCGTACTTGTCCCGGCTATTCCAGGAGCTTACAAATGGGCTCAACAGACAACAGCATCCTCGTCAAACTAGTTAATTTCTCTATTTTAAAAAAAAACATTTTAAAGTTTTTTAACAACAAACTTCGATATCATGCCCACCAATTAATTGATTTAAGTTCGAACTGTGTTGGATTTGAAATAATAGCAAACTTTAAAACTCAGCATAATTTTTTTCCTCTCTATTTTTAACAAGTGAATTAGAGGCGGTTAAGTAATCCTTTTCACTGGACCTACATTTGGAGCTCTAAGTTAAATTTATTCATATAAAATAATTTTAAATTTTAAAAGTATATATTTTGAATGGTTATTAGATAAAAAAAATTTATAAGTGGATAATTTTTAATGATGGGGACGAGAAATTACACTTAATATCATAAAACATAATATAGTTTTTACTGCCCAAACAAATCTTTTTCTCCTATTTCTATAGGTTAATGTTCGAGGATTTAATGACTCGTTACGATTAAAAATTTTCACCATAGACGTCTTCAAAATAATTCAAAATGTTTAGATCCTCATTTTTTTGGGGCTTGTGCACTCAATATCTTGCCCTGTCCCATGTTGAGTCGAGGAGACTTAATGAGAGACCAAAACTTAGTCCGAATCAAGTATTGATAAACCTCTTTGAGCGGCTGGCTCTACCACCGAGTTTTGATGCTTCTGCATTTTTAGGAATCAAACTTAAGACCACTGAGTAGTTAAGTTAGAATAACCCCTCAATTGTTGATCCAAATGTTCGGTAGCAATGTTCATATCCCTCGATGAAAATATTTTCAGTTTAGGGTCTTGACATGTAATTAATTTCTGTAGATTCCTTTTTTCGTTAGGTAAAAAGGGCGTTGAATAAAGAATACATGCAGTGCAGAGTAAAACCCCCAAAAGGTGAGTGATTGCAGTGCAGAGTAAAACCCCCAAAAGGTGAGTGATTGCAGTGCAGGTAAGAAATTGATCAGGGCCCTGTCTTATTCGTCCGTTCTTAACTATAAAAATCGGTAACAGCTTTCAAGGTAAAAAATGAGTCCATGAAACTCGAAGGCAAGGTGATGATGAGCTGCAAAACGCGCATATGCAATTTTTAGCTCTTAATATAATGGTTCTCATAATAATAAGCGTAACTAACTTTCTAAGTAGTAACAAGCACGCAACCCTGGCAGCATCCGAGGAAGAAGGTCAAGGATGATTGATGAAAGATTCATAATGATGATCTTTGAGACTGGTAGGTTCACCCTTGACGACAAAGTAACGCGTATGAGTTGACATAGACGAAATAGTTAAACATAGATATGTACTCTACATATATAAGAGATCCCAGGTTGAATAATATAACTATCCCTTGGACTCAGTTAACTTCAACGGTATGTGGTGCTGCTCCTTATTCAAGCTAATTACACATTAGCTTTTGTAGCAGACTGGTCCATCTTATCAATGTGATTTATATAGGAAAATTTCTTAACCAAATGCCAAGCCGTGATTAAACCAACAGCGTACGAACCAAACCTATTGTACTTGAGAACCCAAGACCAGTAGTAACCAAAGCATATTCTTATCATCATAACATGGACACGTGCACCGTGGTTTACAGCTACTTACTTCGTTACTTTCACTTCTTACATTGACTTTCATGGTCGAACGAAACTAGGAGACCTGCGAAAGCTTGCATTCCAAGGGAAATAACTATTCTTGCAAGCATGAACCCCTCAACACTTTTGTCTCTTTGCATTTGACGGTTAACGATGTGCATCAGATATATAGCCAATATAATCTCCTTTAAACTTGAAGTTGTCGATATATAGTTGGATAATAATTTCATGAAGCACGTGATGAGCTCGGGAATTTTTTTTCTTAATCTAGAGCCACACCCACCTCATTTGAATACACACCATTACATATTCTTTTACAATTAATTATTATTATTTATTTACTACGGAAAACCAAACACGTATTAATGAACGTTGCTTTGTAGTACAACAAATTCAGAGTACGAGTTTAATTTTGGCCATATTGGTTGAGTACAGTGGTCTATAAAAAGAGTCATGATTGGTCTAAGTTCCAGGAGGAAACAGAAATAAAAGAGAGAGAGATGAGGAGGAGCACTACTCCAAGTTGCTCCAGGGAAGGAGAAGGACTGAACAAAGGAGCGTGGACAGCTCAAGAGGACAAGTTGCTCACTTGTTACATTATGGTCCACGGCGAAGGCAAATGGACCCACGTCCCTATAAGAGCTGGTAATTAACTTCTAAGTTTCCTTTTCAATTTTCCTTTTATTCCTGCTGCTCTCCAATTTGCGTGGAGCGTGACAGTAATTTGCAGGCTTAAATAGGAGTGGCAAAAGCTGTAGGCTTCGATGGCTGAACTATCTCAGGCCTGATATTAAGAGAGGTAACATCACCCAAGATGAAGAGGACCTCATCATTAGACTTCATAAACTTCTTGGTAACAGGTTAGTTATATATTCCCTCTCCATTTTATTTTCCTATTATTCTTTTCTTCCTACTCCAGCAGTACTGTGACAGTAATCGTATTTCATACACAGATGGTCTCTTATAGCTGGAAGGCTACCTGGAAGAACAGACAATGAAATCAAGAACTACTGGAACACCACTTTAGCTAAGAAGCTAAGAACACAGTCAGGCCCAACGTCTGAACAACATCCATCCAGCAAATCAGGCGAGTCTGATGAAATCAACAGACCACTAGTAATCCAAAAGAAGGCCGGAAGATGCAAAAACGTGGTTATCCAACATCCTCCTTATTCTGAGGAAACGTCAACCATTAACTCTCAAGCTTCCAACCAGTTGGTCTTTGAGGAAGCTCACCTCACTCGCCAGTTCACAGACCAGTTTCCGCAGGCTGTTGGTGAATGTCAGAATTCAGATGTCAACTTGTCGGGTCCTGAACGGAATGATGAGTTTCAAGATGAACTGAATGCAGTAGATTTTTTCAGGGAGTTTGGCCTTGACAATAGCATGCCCGTGGCCATGGATGCTCAAGCAGACGAGTTCTCGCTTATCGACGAACTTGTCGATTGCCGGATAACTGATGGGTTCAGGAACGTTGTCAGTGCGGATCTAGATTTGACAACATTCATGATGGATTCTGGGGATTGGCCCTGGATTCGTTTTTAGCTTTTGTATACCATTAATTCGTCTTGTCTTTCAAAGCAGTTAAGTGTTCACTTGTGTTTGCTTCTCTTTCCTAAAAATTTATTTGCTGAGCGTTCATTTGTTAAAAATTGGTTTAATAAAGATTAATTATTATAAAAAAATTTATATTTAAATGCATTTTTTTAAAAATTAGTTTAGTAAATTAAAAATTATTTAAATTAATGATAATTTATATTTTAAAATGTGATTTTAAATACACAACGACCAAAAAACATGAATTTATGATAATTTATAATTTTTACTATACAAATATAATATATTAAAATTAGAAATGTTTAAAAAATGTGAAAAAATTAAAATAATATAAAATTTAATATGTTAAATAATAAAAATAAAAATATAAAGTTTGATATGTTAGAAACATTATATAATAAATAATTTAATATACATTAATATTGAAAATTAACATGATTCAAAAAATATATATGATTACATTTTTTATTCCAAAAAAGTTTAATACAATTTGATATATTAAATAATAAAAGTATAAAAAATGAATTTTGATTTATGAGACAAAAATTTTACACATAGTTGAATATACAATAATGTTAAAAATTAATATGATTAATTATTCAATGTATAATGTTAAAAATTTGATCTCTAATTATTATTATTTAAATAATTATTATATTTTTAATGAATTAGCATTATTTTTTAAATAAAAGAATAATATATTATATTTGAAATAACATGGTCAAATATAATTATACTCAACTTTTTAAATTTATTTTTCAAAAGTTTCATCATCTTACAATTTCTAAATACATTTTCAATAATATTCTCAAAGTACTTCTAAAATGTACTTTTATCTCTTTAATTTATTCTAGTATTAGTAATTTTATACAGTTAAATTAGATGAACAATTAAAGAGATGAATAAGATTAAATGTTAAGGGAGGTGAGGAAACGATCCACATTCGCAATTCTATAAATACGTACATTTCAAACCTAGAGAGCAAAAATAGCTATATGCAATAAAAATGATTAATTTATACCCGGGCATAGTTTTTTATTTCCACCGCGATTTTGGATGTCGTAAAATGGCGGATATGAAAATCATTCACTACAAAAAAATTGATCTCAATGCCGAATTTTTATTGATAATTTTTGTCTCCACTGAATAATTCGCTGGTGGGTGCTTGGTTTTGGTTTTTTTTCTTGAGAAAATCAGAATGAATGATCAGTGAGAAAAATTAATTTCTTTTAAAGATCAATTAAGATTCTTTAATCTTACATAGTAATATTAAAATTATTTGGTCTTTAAAAGCAATTAAGATTTATTATGAAAAGATAAAATTATCCCTTATTTATATATTTGTTGTCATGGGATAATTGTTTTTCCTAAAATAGATACTTGTTTATCAGATTTCACAATATTTCCTCTTGGCCTCCAAGTTAATATTTTGAAGTTGTTAATAAAAAAATTAATTATTATTAAATAAAAATGGAACTTGTTTTTTTTTCCTAAATTGAGACTTGTTCCATAAATTACAACACCTATTCCTCTTCACCACCAAGTTAATTTTTTTAAAATTGGTCATAAGGGAATTAATTATTATTAAAATAAAAATAAAATTTATTTTTTCCTAAATGAGGATCAAACTTATTATTAAAAGAGTTTTTGTATATATAAGGGGTAATTTTATTTTTTATAATAAATTTTTAATTATGATTCAGTCTTTTGATCCTATAAAGTAATATCTGAATTATTTGATCGCATGAGCAACAACTTTTTTTTGTTTGTCCTTAATTGTAATTTTCTTTTTCTTTTCCTCTTCGAGATCTTAAACAGTCTCTACGGGAAAAAAAGAAAAAAGTAATCTGTCTTTAAAGAGTTTTCGACAAAGTAATGCTAGGATTTCGTTTATTTAAGATTAAAAAAATATATAATTTTTAGATAGTTTAAAGATTTTATAAAAATATATTTATTTTATAGAAATTTTATAAAAATCATACATTATTTTATGTTTGGTTACAATGATAAAAAGTGATTATTAATTTATTATTTTTAAATTTTATAATATCTTCCTTAATTTTTATTTTATAAAAATAATTTATTGTTATATTATTTTAAAATTTTATGATATTTTCATGTATCCTATCTCTTTAAAACCCTATCTCATCTACCGTATTAGATTATTTTCAAAAACTATTCAAAATAGCTTTTTAAAATAATCAAAAAAAATTTTTATTCTGATTATTTTCAAAAATTTAAACAAACATTATAAAAACTGATAAAATATTTTTTTAAAAAATTTATTTTTTATGAAATAAACTAAAACAAACAAGCCCTAGATCATTTTAAGCAGAAGCACTTACGATAGCCAATCCAGGTTCTTTTACTGAAGGGAAATGGGCTAACTCTGCAATTTACAGCCGCCGAGGATGAAATGTAGATCAAAATTTTGCTGAAGAAGGAGAACAAGAATTTAAACAAGAGGACCAACACAGAAAAAATGTAACTCATAAGTCACAAGATCGTAAAATTAAATTTCATTAATGATATAATAATTTTATTAATTGATGATCTGTAAAACTTTTTAAACCTAGAAAATATAAAGTGTGAAAGCTTATCATCAAATTTTATCTTGTTAATAAAAATTTGGCTTATGACATTTAAGATTGCGGTGACTGGTGGAGCTACTTTTATTCTAAGGCGGGCAGATGCAGCCTCTGAAATTTTAGATATAAAATCTGTAGTATTAGTTTTATGTCCTCTCTCTCCCTAGTGTTCTAATTTTGCATCCTCTAATGATGGGAAATTGAGAAGATTGAAGGAGTTTTTTTTCTAATATTATATTTGTGATATTTTTAAAATTTCGAGAGAACAAACATTTTTTTGTACTGTTTGTTGTTTAAATACCATCGTAAATTTGTATTTTTTTTACTTTTTAATCAGTTAAATATTAGAGATACTTTATATGTATGTTAAAATCTGATTTATATTAAAGTTAAATTGTCATTAAAATTTAGAGGAGGAATAATCTTTAAACAATATAAATCAAATTTGTACAACAATGAATAAAAATAAATTTTAAAAAATTACTATCAAACTCAAGATCATTGCAAGATATATAATTTATATATAGAAATTTTAAATATAATTAAAATTAATTATTTAATATTTAAATAATATCATGTCCCCTTTAGCTAAAGGTCCTAGCTCCGCTACTTGTGGTATCAAATCTTGTTATGAATGTGAAAATTTTATTAATTAATGATCTTTAAGTATTTTTATAAATACTATTTAAATTTTAAAACATGTTCTGGTTTTGATAAATATGGGGACTTAATTCATCTAAACCTTTTATATATACGTATATATTAAAAAGAAAAGGAAAGTGTGAAAGCACTGTCCTGAAGAAAAAATCCAAGCGTGGAACTGCTTGAAAGATTCAAACTTCAAAGTATTTTGTAACAGTCGAATGCTGAAGTTAACATACTCTTTAGTTTAGTATATAAGTTACTTTTTAAAAATATAACTATTCATATATGAACAATAGATATAAAGTGTGTCAGAGATGTTGAGTCTCAATTGATAATAAAAATAGTCTCAAATTCCTTTATCACAATTCACTCGAATGTAAAAAGATACAAAACTTTAATAGAACAAGTGTTTTATTTTATTAAAGTACAAGAAATGACAAGTCTAAACTAAAAATTAACTGATAAACTTAAAGGTTAAAAAGTATAAAATGCGAGTCTTTAGTTGAGTATTGACTATTTTCTTCTGTGTCTTCATCTTTTATTTGTAGTGTCAAAGTGGTGGTAGTTTCTCCCTTAAGACCTAATACGTTCTGCCAAAGAATCAGGAATCTCGCGAAACTCATGACACGGTCTTTCTTTCATGCTCTCCATTTTGGTAATAAGCTCATTTCACTAAGATATTTGGGTGTGAAGTTCGTAGATTTCAGCATTACTTGAGATTATGTCTTTTCATGGTAACGGTTCAATGTTTGCAGATGACGGGATTTCAACATATTTATTTATTGTGGTCTTTATCGAGTTTTGGGGTTGGCTCTTTTGTTTATATTGGATCTAATGCTTTAGTTACTTAGCCCAAGTAATCCTGTAATTTATTTGAGTGACGTTTTATATTTTAGCCCAAATAATAATCTAGTCCACTTTACAAGTTATTTGTTGATGGAATTATTTTGTTTTAAATTAAAATTTTTAAATTACCCTTAAAAAGTAAGAGAGAGAGATAAAAAATAATATTATATGATTAACTTATTTTTTATTTTTTACTTGAGAGTTATGTTTAAAATTTTATTTACTTTTATTCCTTATATTTTTATTATATTAGTATTAATAAAATTAATAAAAATAATTTATAAATAGAATCGAATGAAGTACCTGTTAGTGTTTGTTCTCAATGTTCAAAAAAAAAAAGTCACTTCTATAATATATTTAGTGTCGTACGTTTTTTAGAATTCTGTTGTATTTTAATTTTCTTCTCACTTTTTTTTTGGACTGTCATTTGTTTATTTCCAAAAATAGGTTGCCACTAATCAAGGAAATTTCATTTTACCTAAAAATTGAGGTGAATTGAACCTTAGAAATTCACTAACATGAAGGCATGCGTTTAAGATTAAAAAAAAAAATGCTTGGATATATACTTATAAATCATCTATCAACCGGTCTTCACGTAGACAATTGAATCTGACTTCCTTGTTGATTATGCCTCAAATTTTTGATAATTAGCCTTCTGGCAACCCTTTTTGATAGTGGTGGATAGATTCTTTATATTCTTTTTGGGCTTCTAGCCCCATTTTATGCCAAAATACACACACACATATTTGTTGATATTTAAAAAAAAAACATATACCGATATTCATTAGTTCGATGCTTTAACTCTGCTTCATTTCCCCAAGCTTTCAGGGCAACATGCCCGATGCTTACTTGAAGCCGACAAGTCAATGATAATTAATAATCAAATCAAATCAAATCCACAAATTACTTAATATTTTAATATATTCTTTTGCTAGCTGTGCATCGATCTCCGGTAAAATGAAACGGTAAAATATACTGAATATAAACACGTGCCTTAGGGCGGATGGAGCCATGGAGGAGTTAATTAATGGGAGGCCAACTTATAAATAAAACATCAAGTGGGGGTCAAAATTTATTTTAAAATTTTTATTAGTCAAATCATAATTTTTGCCAACGGTTTGAAGTATGGGCGAAGCACCCCCCTTGCCCTACTAGATCCGTCCTTGCGTGCCTTAAATACTCTCCCTCATTATAATTACTAGAGCTTATTTTGCAACTTTATATTATTCATTTTTGTAAGACTCTTCTACTAATTGTCTACTGTATTTATTATTATTTTAAATAAGAATAACCCAGTTAATGAAGGTGTTCTCATATTAACTATTTTTTTTTTGGTCGATCATATTAACTAGTTAGGAATGAGAAAGAAGGGAAATATGCATCTCATTTCAGAAGTAGGATTTGAAAAACACATGACTTTATTAATTATATATTAAATCATTATCAACTAGACAATTTCCATTGACAATAACTATATTTCATAGTCTCTTTAAAATAGTTAAAAATACTCTTATTATAATTAATAATGTATGTACTTACATATTGCTGATGACCAATAATGTCGTCATATTAGTAATAAAATTTGAAAATATAATCTTGTGAACATGAGGAAAATCCTTATTATGTCAAAAAAAAAAAAGAACACTTATGAACCGACAATTTGAAAAATAGTGAAATAAGATCAAACACTTAAGGCCTGTTTGGTTCTGTTCTCATTTCTTATTTTTAAAAGTTGTTTTATAATATAGTTTTTAAAATTATTTTTTAAAATAAAAAAATAAAAATCCGTTTGGTTATGTTAATTTAAAATGGTTTTAGAATTAAAAAATAAACTAATAATAATGGTTATAAATGGTTAATTATGGTGATTTATAATAAAAATTGATCAAAATAATTATAATTTTTAATAATCAAGTGTAGTATATTTTGAAAATAATAACAATAACACAAAAGCAAATAAAAGTTGCTTTTATTTTTTGTTTTTAAAAAGAAACAGATGAAAATAGTTTTACAAAACATTAAATAAAAAACACTCAATCAAACAAGTTTTTAAATTTTTCTATTTTTAAAAAACAAAAAATAATTTTTAAAAATAGAAAAGAAACAGGCTCTAATAGATTCTTTTGCTCCCCGGACATACGTAGATCTCTAGTAAAATGAAATACTAGTAAATTATACTAATTTTAAAATGTGCTTTAATTCATGGTTAACTATATAAAATATTCGACTAACGCTATAAACTGGGCATATAAGGAATCTAACTATTTTTTCCCCAAAAAAAAAAAATTATACCGATGATCAGATTTCTCCAAAGTATATAATGATGTAGTAGAATATTATAAGGTCAATTGTTATAATATAATAAGGAGGAGTGAAATGTGAGCATTCACCTAACTTTTTTTGCATGGGGGTAAAAAAAAAGAACTAGCCAGTTCATTTCAAAACCGTCACGCAGAAAAATATTTTATTTTTATAAAATTAAATCATAGAAAAAACACAATTCATATTCATCATCGTTTTACCCAACTTGTAATTTTTGGGTAAAAAAATTCCATTTGTAATTTGCTTAATTTATTTTACTTAATGTTAATCTAGTTCTTTTATACGGCTTCAAAATGTGACGATCCTCATGTTTAAAGTACACCGGGTTCAAAATCTAGTTCTCATATATAGGACTATTTATATAACGTTTTGGAATATTGTGATGAAATTAATACTAATTAAAACGCAAGGTCCAAATTGCAGATTAATTAAGAGAAATTTTGATGATAAAAAATGTTTTTCTAAGAACGATACAACGTAACATTAGTTCTATTTTACTATTTTAACCAAGTGGAGCAAACCGCTCTGAATTTTGAGTTGCGATGAGATACATAATAATCTAACACTCAAAGAAGAGTGGCTTAATTAATTTGCTAGGGATCGGATATGGTTTGACGTAAGACCGCCCTTCAACACCACACTACAAAGTGCTTTAAATTCATTTTTTATTGCTATGTTTAAGTCATTGATTAAAAAAAAAAAAAGTGCTTGCAAGTTCGAAACATCAATTCAACATTTAAGCGTAATGACTTTCTCATGTGTAGTTGCGCAAGCACCGGACCTTGCTTTGCGTCCAACTTCAACTATATATGATTAAAAATAGAGGCACAAATGCACGTAAATTAAACGTGATGCCACGGATAATAAATTAGTCACTACGATACTATATAATAAAACTAAAGCACTTTAATTGTACATATCAAAATCGACATGATTGATACTGACTCTTGACTTTGCAAATTGTTTGTGTGTAAAACAAAAATCCAATCATCTATTAAATCATAGCCTCTTTCCAGAAAAAATAAATTTAAAAAAATAATAAGTGAAGACCTCATAAAAAGATGAATGCCAAAACAAGATTTTTTTTTTTTAAAAAAATAGCACTGAAACTCAAGAGAATGAGTATTTAATTTAAAAATTTTAATTGCAAAGAGATCATAATTTGACATTAATTTTCTTATGAAATCCATTATTTTTTTAAATTAAAGCTGATTTCTGCGTACTTAGTTTTTATAAGAATAAAAATTTAATAGATTATTAGATTGACGTGTTGAATTAAGCAAGCCCAATTAGAGGCAATATTTTCAAAAGTGTTTTAGCATTTAAGACTTTATACTTATTTCAATTTATTATTTCAATCTTTAATTTAAAAAATTATATTATATTGTGATATATTGATCGTTTAATTAAAACTGAGAGATTCTTATGCATACTCAAAGTATGTGTCACCTATACCTTGCCTAATTTAATGATTTCAAAATCACCCATAAAGGCTTGGTTAATGGCCTTATAGCTTGATGGTATATGACCTCCCTCTCTTATGCGCGATGTAGCGGGTTTCATTCTACTAATAACCTCAAGTGTTAGCACCTGTCCCTCTGATTAAAAAAAGAAAAAAAAGAGTTGACGATTGATATTTATTTATCGTGCAATGTCATTTTGTCTTTCATCAGCATGGCATGAACTAGGAACCTACTAGTCCAAAACCCTAACCTATCCCATTCTAACTGCCCAAAATCACTTCCTAGTTCCCAATCATGTCTAAACCCAATTTATTTTTTGGAAAGAAATTCTGGAACGTTGCAGATGGTTTACTTGCCCCTGTTTTCTTTATGTGTTTGCATTGTTGTATTTGTTCATAGGGTCTCTTTTTGTGCGCTTTTTAATCCTATTTTTAATAATCTTGTCTTGTGGATTAATTTTGTGTATGATAATGGCTGATTCAGCTGGTCTGCTATGATATTTTTTTCTTTTTAGTTCTTACTGATTTTCAGATATTTTCTGATCCTTCTATTGTAGAATGAGTTTTCGAAGCTGCCAGCAGTGTTGGAAAGGGGATGGCTTCACTCTCGATGGCCACTCTTTGAATCACGTGGCAGTCAAGAATTTAGTCATTGCCTCTCCAATCTGCAGGACCATGGCTATCTGCTTGTTGAATTTGTTCCTTTATATTTTGTTTTGTATTTTAGATCTCGTAGTATCGGTTCCATTTTGTCGTAGCTCTCGTTTGTCGGAATTAGTGTTTGTAAACTTTGCATATGATGTGACTTTTCTAATGAAATTGTCCTTCCGGTCAGCAACCAAAAAAAAAAAAAAAAAAAGCCAAACATGCACTGAGATTCTTTCTAATGGCTACATCTATCTATTAACCCACGATAAAGAGGAACTCATTAATACGCTCCACCCACATGCTTTATCACGCAAATTGTAGAATATTTAGCAAATTTTCGCAAATGATCAAAGTACAAAGAAAAAATTAGTGCATTTCCGTCCTAAAAATTAAATCTAGAGAACTATCATCAGAGACAAGAAGTCAAAAGGCTTATTTTACGTCCTTCAGAAAAGAAATGTATCAATAGAGATTCGTCACTCAGAAAAGAAAATAAACGAGAAAACAAGTGGGAAGACGAATGATGAGGCTACTTCTTTTAATCAGTTTTACTTGCAAGACCAAAAGTGGAATTTTTAACTAGTCTCTCATTATTGTTCATTCATGTCGTTTACACGGTCTTAACAGACATATAGTTCAAACTAAACAAAGTCAGGTCCATCTATGAGGGATATATCTAGATCCATAGCGATGTTGTCCTCGAGTTTTCCACTACTGGTCCAACTGACCAAAAGTTCGTCAAGGTTAAAGCGTGGGCAAAATTCTGCTTCATTTAGTTGATCTAGAAACTCATTTCTTATTCCAGGGCTCCATAAATTCACATTTGATGAACTGTGATTTTCGTGAAGCTGATATTCCTGTGAAAGCTGAGCTTCTGAAGCATCAGAACCCTGACATTGGTTTGAGAACTGATCAGTGGTTTGGTGAGATTCATAAATCTGTGGCTCATTTGAAGCTGGCGATTTTTGCTTTGGACTCCGGGGATATTGAATCATCACGTTCTTGCATCTACTAGCCTTGGTACGGATTACTCGTGGTTGAGTGACACCAGGCTTATTATTTACTGTTGATATGATGGTTCCATCTAGTTCAGACATTGAACATGACCGTGCTCTTAACTTCTTTGCCAGAGTGGTGTTCCAGTAGTTCTTGATTTCATTGTCCGTTCGGCCAGGTAGCCTTCCAGCTATGAGAGACCACCTGAGATAGATTCATATTAACAAGCTAACAAAAGTAAGATAACCTACGAATTGAGAAAAACGGGGAGGGAATAACCTGTTACCAAGAAGTTTATGAAGTCTGATAATGAGTTCTTCTTCATCCTGGGTGATACCGCCTCTTTTAATATCAGGCCTGAGATAGTTCAACCATCTGAGCCTACAACTTTTTCCACTTCTGTTCAAGCCTGCATTTTGTATTAATGTCAAAGGTCATGCATGCACAGTGAATCAGAGGAAAAGGCGAGAGATGAGAGACTAATTACCAGCTTTCTTAGGAACGAGTGTCCATTTGGCTTGGCCGTGGGTCTCAATGTAAGAAGTGAGTAACTTGTCCTCTTGAACCGTCCACGCTCCTCTGTTCAGGCCTTCTCCTTCCTCTGCGCCACATGGACTGATCTTCCCCATCTTTCTGTATTTCTCTGTATAATATCTCCGTCTCAATCTTCAAATTAAACTCATTACACCAGCCCCAACTCTATATAGAGCCTGCCTGCCGTTCAGCTGATATATCCCTCTTGACACAGGAATATTATTAAGTCAACCATGACTACGCTTATCAATGAACATATCCTCTCTAGAATAATTATAATATTAATGGGCTTAATAGGCATACAAGTTGAAGGCGGCAAGTCGATAATATTTATAGAGAGGGAAAAAAAGATTCCTTTGATTTCACCATAAAGAACAAAGCAGATTCTGAGCTGATCATGTGAATTATGAAGTTATTTATACAGATAGGCACAACTTAAATGCAATAAGAGACATCTGGCTGTGCGTGGCCACTATTGCAGCCGTGAAGTGCAAATAAGAATGAAGATGTGTTGTAATATTATATATGTAATTAACAACATGATTTATAAATTAACCAGTTCCCGCGCTGGGAAACATGGAAAACCGTGTGCCTTGTACTTACTCTCGGCTCTTTCAGAGGAGCCTCAAGATTGTCATACAATAAAAGCTTACGTGCGATATATGTTTATAAACTAGGATCTAGGATAACTATCTGCTAAAATTATAAAGAAAATGCAAGTAACAAGAAAGAAAGGACACGAGATGTGAATTAATTAACAACCTGTTATCATGAAGTTCAGATGAAAGAAATTACTAACGTGCCGTGAACGGTAAATAACTAAATATATCCATCAACCAATAAACGGAACTCTTAATAAGCCCTACTCAATTTCAAGGAAAGTGCTTTAATCAATGGGATATTGGATATCTGAATATATAATCAATAATCAATAAATCAATAAATAATATAAAAACAAAATACATCAGCACTGCATAAATGTTGTTCTCTCCCTGAAGTCCGTGCCTTTTAATCTTTTTTATTCTTTAATTAACCCTGTAAACAGGGGAATTGCTCTGGTTTCTAATCATAACCATACTTCCCAAAACATGTGGGGTTTTGTTCAACGAATGCATGCTTCTGAATGACTTTTTATTCATAATTATAATTTCGATTATAGTATGAGAAAGTCATAAATATCCTCTTAAATTAGCAGAGTGTAAGTAATAGATAATAAATCACTAAATTATTCCAAATATACAGATTTGTTTGGGGATTATAGGGGTATTTGTAATGCTCCGGGATTCCTTGGCCTGGCTGGAGAGTTGACCTTCTCTGGGTTTGAATGGAATTGATTGGTTAGTTGTGCTGCACAAATTTAAACTTAAGTACTCTAGAGCACGAATTCACAGGTTATCAGTTGAGTATTGTAATTCACCCCACAATAAATATTTCCTATCATATGGTGAATTTAGTAATAATGTACTGCATGATGGTGGACAACTAGGCATGTGACGATACAGAACAGTCCAGATTAACCCCGCTTGATTTGCAAGGCATTGAGATTCACAAAAAGATATGCCTTGACTAAGCTGCAGCACGCATGCATGGTTTACAGTGCACTGTTTTGTTTCCAGCTTTCAGGTTAAAAAATGAGCTAAAAAGCTTCCACTTTAATATGGTAGTTAATGATAACATATTATTGTGTTTGTAGTGTTCACGTTCATATCTTCCACGTGATGTTATTAAGTAATTTTATTCCAATTATTCCCCCTTCTCCTGAACTTGGGGAAGATTCTGTTTCATGGGGATCTTCTTCTACCAAGAATTTCACAATCGAAGAAGCCTATGAAAAACTTAGTTTTATGACATGCCCACTCAACAATTTGGAGTCTTATCTAGAAATGCAAAGGCATGTATTGAAGCTGATCTTCGCTGTCATTGGTGCCATGACATCTTTGAAGACACTCTCCATGCAGCGAGAGACCGTTTTTGCACAAGAAGAATTTTGGGAGCAACTGATTCGATCCCGATATCATCAATGTTTCTTTCATCTACTTCTGTGCGATTGGATTCGCCCGTATGATTGCTGTGTTAGCTGAAATTTTGGATGCAGACTCTATCCAACTTCATGTTCAAAACCCATCCAATTTGAGAGTCCATTTTTTTGTGCGTGCAATCTGGATGATAGAATTACAATTTAATGGTGAACAGTGGTAGTGCCAGACATTTTTATTAGGGAGAGATGAAATCAAAAGTTAGATATGATAATTGAAGGAAATTTATACACACACCCATCATTAATATAAATTTATACACACACCCATCATTAATATAACATAAATATTTGAACGTATACATTTATATTCAATTTAATAAATATAAAAAAATAAATATATAAAAAATAAATATATTTTTATTTTTTAAGTTTCGCTCATCAATTTTTTTATAGCATAAAAATAATTAATTATTGTTTATGATAAATTTTTTATCAATTTCTTTTTCAATATAAAATATTATTAAATCGGTTAAAGTTTCATCTTCTATATAAGTATTGAATGATTTTAAATACATCTTTGAGATCTAAAGTTTCGTTTAATATAAGAAGCTCTATTATTTACTTATTAAATTTACTATTTAATTTTTTTAATCAATTATATAGTAAATAACTATATTAACATGATAATGAGATCAAATATAACCTCTTAACTTTTGGATAAATCACTTTGTGGTAAATATCAATCATATTATGCAAAGGGTGTCTTAAATTAGGATTTAATTATCAGACTAACTATAATAAATTAATGACTAATGCAAAAGGATTATCCTATAAGAGACTACTCTAAATAAATTTTTAACATGTATTTTTACAAACGATTCGACACAAATGGATCCTAAGTTTTTAAAATATTTCAAAAATTCATATCATTTAATTAGACATATGCGGAAGCATAATAAATGAAACACATCAACATGGGAGAAAAGCTTCCCCCTTTATTTTCTCTCTATGCTTTACTCCATAATACCTACATACAATACATACATATATATATATTTATAACATAATATTTGGCCACTCAAACCCTTCCATAACTGGCAAAGGGGGCCAAGGTCTCAATCACATTAATCACAATGACTATTACCTAGTCATCATACTATATATATATATATATCATTTATTCATCAATAGCCTGTCATATGTATGAATTTTTTCTTTTCATTCACATATAATTAATATCAATTGCTCACCCTTGGACATCAAAAACACAAGGAGAAACCATAACAACATTCAAGTTCTCAATTTAAGCAGATATTAACTATTTTCACTTGTACTAATATTCTGGCCCATTAATATAACACAAGCATCAAACCACATTCCCAAGAACCCAAAATACATTTTTCCCAACACAAAACTCATAATGCAAATGGATCAAAAATATATTATCCTAGTTGGCAATATCATAAACTAAATACATATATCAAAATAAAAAGAAAAGGCCTACAGAAGTAATTAATATCACATGGCCTAATGCTCCTTTCCTCTATTCTTTTTAGATGAGCTAGCTCTGTAATATGTTAAAAGAGAGGGATGAGTACAACTACTCAGTAACCAAGGTACATCTAAGTTATACAAATGCATGATAATTAATCATGAATGTAAGTGGCTAATAAATTTATCAAGGTGACCATGTAAACAATCACATTAATAACATGTTAATCACATTAACATCTAATTCATGTGAATAATCTTAAGAATAAAGTCAAGTACAAATTTTGCACAAATTGCCACACATACATTATTTGCATAATTATTATATGTTCTCATTTCTACAATTATAATTATATTCTCAATATAATCATCAACCACTCAAATGGTATGATAATATAATATGTATGATCAATCTCTTACTTATATCTCCCCTTATTTCGTCTGACATGAAATCTGTGAGCCAACAATCGGAATGGATCATCCATGTAGTGAGACTACCTAAGGCCTTAATCAGATCGTGAGGGGCTACCGGGCCATAGTTACTTTACTCACTTATGAACACAGTTTCTCCTAAATCACACACGATGGAGTGTCATACCCAAAACTAGCTCTATCCAAAACTACAGGTAGGCTAGTAGGGTCAAGTCCCTTAATAGGAACAATGCTACAGTACCTTACAAGGTAAGTAGCGGCTATAACCCCCATGATTATTAGTTAATAGCGAAGTACCATATGAATTTTGCATCACAGCTAACTCCTTCACTAAGGCGAACTCCCGCCATATGATCATACTCATGAGAAAATGCATTTCAAAAGCTCATATATATATATATATATAATTCATAATTATCCCACATGTTTATTAACTTTCTTGCTCAATAAGTATCAAGAATTATCATTTTTTCAATCATGCTTCTTGCATCAATTTTATATTGCCACATAAACCATATTAGCATTATATAAAACTCAACATGCTCATATACAATTGATCACTATACATAATTCACAATTTATAATCAATCTCAATCTTACTCGGACCAAGTCATAATTAACTTGGTTACAAATCATAAAGTCTCAATAAAGTCACATGCATTACAAACAATTATTTCAAAATTTATATATATATATATATATTCTTTTATTTCACCACATAATAATTAACATATAAATGCATAAAATAAATTTTTCTGGTTACCTCAACCTTTGAGAAGTCAAGGTTTACCCCTCAAATTACAACACTTCTAAAGCTTTCCAAAGCTTGAATGGTATAAAAGAAAATTAATCTACAATTAATCATATCTCAATGTGTCAATAATATTATTAACACAATTTTTACTCATACTCTAACACCTAAGTATTTATTTTTATTTTATTTCATTTTTTAAGACCTTAGTCTTAAGCCTCTTGAGTTCTAAAATTTAATTTTATATTTGAACCTATCTACTTAGTTCAATAGTCTCCTTCACTGTAATTTCATTGAATTTGGATAAAAATATCATTCAATAATTTTTAATATCAAAATTTTCCTTTTTATTTTAAAATTTTGTACATAAAAATACCCAAAAATTGCAAACTTAATTTCAAGCCTAGAATCATTATTTTATAGCCATAATAATTTATTTTTTATCTCAAATAATCATCTAAATATTAACAAATAATTTATATTTTTAGATTTAACCAAAAATCTATTCACAGGGATCTAGAGATAAACTCAAATGCCTCAAATTCCAATTCAATCAATAAAATAATACTCTAAAATATTTATTACATTATCAACAACCTCAACAACTAGATTTACGCATAAAAAATGCATCTTTCTTTTAAACCTTAAGTTTTTAAAATCTCAAAAGTTGCAGTTCAAAGAGAAAAACGACTAAAAAAAGTGTTTATAACACTTACATAATTTTAGAATATTTAAAATCTTATTTAAAGTATTCTATTATAAACTTTACCTTTTAAATCAACTCTACGCCGCAGCATCGCTCGCTCTCTCTATGTGCAGGAGAAGGAATGAAAAGATGAGGGAAGGGAAATGAAGAAAAAAAAAGTGTGTTGCTTTTAAAAAAAGCGGTGGATCCCACGCGAGAAAACTGACATCTACCTCTTTGTTTCATTTAATATACACATGCCGAATTGTCTACCCCATCTCTTCATTTCATGTTTTTTTTATATTTTATAATCATTTTCCTTCTTTTTCTTTCTTTTCTTTCATGTTATATATGTATACATTGAACACTCACACGTACTTTCCCATCTATTCTCTCTTTTTTTATTATGTCCCTTTTCTCTTTTAATAATAATAATAATAATTCTATTCTAAAAAAAATATAACTTAGGATTTGGGTTTATGCTAAATTAAATCTAATAATAATCTCCTAACTAAAATTATTTATATTTAAATATTTCTCTAAAATTATTCATTTTCCCTTGATTAACTTAATTAATTTTGGGTTAAATTTTGGGATGTTACCCATTGTATTTAATATATCTTGAAATTTTTGTTGCATTGCTGGATGAAGTTTGTAAATAATAATTCTTATAGTTTTTTTATCAAATATAAAATGAAAATAGAACCTAATAACATAAATATTTTAAGAGCATGTGTAGTATTATCTTATTAAAAATAAATAGATTTTAAAACAACTATATATTTCCAAGCTAATAAAACAATTGTATTGTACATACATAAAAGACTACACACAGAATTAAAATAAAAATTCCATCTTTTTTTTGGCCTAAAAATGAAAATTCCTTCTAATCTTTGTGTCAATTTAAATAGTCAAAACATATATTTTTATATTTTATTAAAAAATACATAAATAAGAGAGGCTGTGGCCTTCCCATGCCCCCTATTCAAAGCAATGATTAAAAAATTAGACCGAACTGCGCATCGGTCAGTCAAACCGTCAATCGGTCAGACCAACGGCTTGGTTGAATTGAAAAAACTATTTGGAGAGTTGAATCATTTGAATCGACTATCAGATTGGGAACTTAATCCAATTTTTAAAAACTATATTGTTAAAAAATACCCCTTTTTTAATTTTTATCAATTTTTTAAGAAAATGATTAATTTTTTTAATTATTTGATGTTACGTTGTATCATGTGACTTGTTGAGTTATAATAAACTTAAAATATTTGGTTTTATTTTTAAGTTAAGTAGCAATTTCATATTTATTATATTTAGATTATTACATATACAATTTTTTAATTTAATTATTAAATTATCAGTTTGGCTATTGGTTGGATCATAAAAATCATGCATCACTAACATTTTTAATTTAACATCTGATCCAATTTTAAAAATATTAATTCAAAGCAAATGCCAGCGGTGGCATGTGCACACTCATTTTATGAGAAAGTAAAACCTAATGATCATGAAAATTACGAGCGGATCAGTAACTTATACTTATATATTTGCAAATTTGTCAACAAAGTCGTTGTAGTATAGTGGTGAGTATTCCCGCCTGTCACGCGGGCGACCCGGGTTCGATCCCCGGCAACGGCGAAATGTTTTTAGTTATGGGGTTGGAAAATACGGCGTTGTCCTTTCTCAAGAGGTTTCGTTTTCGTTACCTATGCACCCTACTGCTCCCTTGCTTTTTCAATCCCTTGCCCGTCGTCCGTTGCCCTAATCGGTCCAAATTTCTCTGGACAAAATTTTTCTCTCCATTTTTTCTTTTTTGCTTCTTTCGCACGTTTTATGGGGGTGGATAAACCAGAACCTAGAAGTGAATAATCATTAATCAAATTGAGTACTTCCCGAACTGATTGTTGAAATTGGGAGTCGGACGAGGTGCGAAAGCGAGAATGGGCTGGGGTCACCTGGGAAGAACTGAGCATTCCAACTCGGGTGAGCCGAGTACCAGTGCCGACGCTGCTCCCTCCAACACCGAACCATCTATACCTCGGCGATTCCCCAGGGCGGCTCAGCCTGAGATCATGAGAGCGGCTGAGAAGGATGATCAGTATGCCTCTTTCGTCTATGAAGCTTGTCGCGATGCCTTCCGTCACCTCTTTGGTCTGTAGGCCATATAGCCCCTTCGCCTACACTTTCTAAGATTTTATGTCAATTGCTTATCCTGGTTCGCTCCTTGATTTATTGTAGAAAAAATATGTCTAATTTACCTGGCAAATGGGAGTTGTCCCTTAGGATAAATTAATTACTGATCTTTCACTACTTCATATATCTGTTGTTGAAAATTTGGCGAGACCTGCAGCTTTAAAACGCTTGAATTCCTTCGTTGCATTACTTGTTCTAGTCGTCACTCTTCGTTTTTCTCTTCTATCATTACTTTTCTTTCCCCTTATTTAGATATAACTATTTTAACGAAATTTCGTTTTTATAGATAAAATTATGAACTATATAGGTTTCTTGTTTAAAATTTAATTTGGTGATGAACTCATAGGCCCCCTCGAGTCAAGCTGACAGCTCTGCTTTCCTTGGTACAGGTACTAGAGTTGCGGTTACCTATCAAAGTGAGGTTAACACTTTTCTTCATGAATTGTATTCGTGCTGTCTCAGTATATTTTCAGTCCATTTATCCTGGAATGAAGCTGTGTTGGTTTGAAGATAGAGGTAACGGTAATGTTATTGTTTTGCAGACAAAATTATTGGGACAGATGCTTTACTATGTGATGACAACAGGTTCAGGACAACAGACGCTCGGAGAGGAATACTGTGACATCACTCAGGTTTGCTGTATTTGCATGAACTTTGACCGTGTCTGACTGCCTATGTTGAGTTGTCTAGCATGTGGCTAGTGTACCCGCTTCTTATCGTTCTGGAGAATGGCTTTTTAAAACTCAAAACCCGGACAGTTGAGTGTTTTTTATAAACTATGTAGCGTCTTCAACTGCCTTTAGTCTTTATCTAATAAATGACATCATTGAGGTTATAGTCAAGGACTGTAGTATTTCCATTTCTTGTATAGAGGGCTTGAGGTTTATTTTAGCAGAGCTTTTATTTCCTTTCCTCCAATGTTCTGACATCCGATATTTCTTATTGGTTTTTAGGTTGGAGGACCTTATGGACTTCCTCCTACTCCTGCAAGGCGTGCCCTTTTTATTGTATACCAGACAGCTGTTCCATATATTGCCGAACGAATTAGGTCAATCTCAGCCTCGTTCTTTTATTATATATATTCCTCAAATGTCAAATTTAATCTGACGTGCTATTTCTGTTATCACTGTTAGTAATACATATTTCTTTTCAAATTTAATGATGGCTTCTTTGTTGGTTGTACAGTTCTAGAATTGCATCCCGAGGAATTGTCCTTGCTGATTCACAATCTGTGGAGACCTATAGCGAAAATGCTACCATTAGGAGTAGTGAATTTCAAACTTCTGATGTGAGTGAACTTCCCTCTTCCACGTCAGGGCAATCTCCTGCAACTCTGACAAGGTTGAAGGAGAAGCTGAGAGGATTTTGGTTGCATGTAGTTCGGAGATGGCCTACGGTACATTAACTTCACTACATTTACTAGGTTCATTAATTTCAATCGAAGGCAATTATACTAAAGCAAGGTTTTGTGTTGCTGCTACTAGATGCTTCCTATGGTTCGTGAGTTGTTGCAGCTGGTTCTGCGGGCTAATCTTATGTTCTTCTATTTTGAAGGTGATCCATTGCTTGAGGGGCTCATTTATTGTCATGAAATGTCTAAAAGCAAGTTTTAAAAGTTCCTCTTTCGCAGGTCTCTATTATCATATATCAAAACGTGCTGCAGGAATTCGATATGTCTTCATTGGAAAATCATCAAATCAAAGGCCCAGGTACTGTTCTTGTACAATTTTAAAAATATGTGGGCTTTCTAGATGTTCATGGTTGAATAAAAAAATTATCTATTCCCTCTCTTATCTCTCTTTTACAGTTTTGCTTTCGTTTTCCATTTCGTTTAGTCTTATTTTGCCCACCCTTGTTTTGGTAGATATCCCTGAAGTTGGTTTGTAAAAGATATTTGTACAAATGCCAGTCTTTGTTGTTATTCACTCATTCTTCCTTTATTTAATTACGCTGCCTTTGGTTTTACCCCTAATGTCTTTATCATTCATCATTTTGACCGCGTCTCTTTTCTAGATGCTTTAGATTTAGAACTTTCTTTACTATAATTTCGCTTCTATGCAGATACCAAATTCTGGGTGTATTTCTATTGATTCAGCTTTGTATAATTGCTGCTGAAGGGCTTCGTCGAAGCCATTTATCTTCAATTGCAAGTTCAGTTCATCAGACATCCTTTGGGACGCCCCAGAGATTTGCAGGTTATACAATACTGTAATTAATTTACACTGTATATTCATTGTGTTACTGTTCTCATTTTCCTTTTTCGTAGACTTTTTTGGTTCATCAGGAGATTAGGGAAAATGACCATGTCTGTATTGTATGTGGGTCATATATTTGTCATTAATTATATGCCCTTTATACCAATCCAATTCCACCATTATGTGCAGGACGAGGTTTGCCTGTTTTAAATGAAGAGGGTCTTCCAGCATCATCAGATACAGACAAAGGAAATTGGTTATCCGACACTACAAATTCTGAGGTGCAAATTTCACATGAATCCATTTTCTTTTGTTTTTCAAATGATATGCCAGCATATGTTTTAATGGAGGTTGTACTTGTCACAGATGTATCTTATTGATAGGTTAAGGATCTGTGGTTGGATAAACCCATAGCTTTTGACTTGACCCCTTAATATGAATTTTTTCTTTGATCTGTTGGGAAATAGGAAGGTTTGGGCTTAACAGTTAGGACCATTGCTATAATAATGGTGCGTGTCTCACACCAGTGGTTCAATATCCAAATCATGAGATATTTGAAATTTGATTAATTTGAAATCCTTTCCGCTTCTACTGAACATAGAGCAGCCATACTTTAAGAATAGAGTCATATTGTTCCATTACATGTCCATAGCTTGTATTTGACAGTTGATACTTAATATTGTATTTTACCATTTAGACGATGCAGACTCTCTCCTTGTCTGCGATAAATTTTTTTTTAGTGATTATGAGTGTGGCTACCATCACCAACAAAGGATTTTCACGAAGCTCATTTGTCGGAAGGATTGATTTACCAAGTTCCTTAAAAAACAGTGACTTGTCACAACTAGTGTATTTAAAATGACAGAATTACTGAAAAATCCTCGTCGGAATCAGGCAATTTAGTGTGATATGTGTTAGCATCAAGTATTTTGAAATTCTTCTCCCTTTTGCAGTCCCAAGCAATTAGTGGAGTGAGCAAATGCACGCTCTGCCTGAGTAATCGGCAACACCCAACAGCCACTTCCTGTGGCCATGTATTTTGCTGGTACTGCCTTGCTTTGCATCATTCTGAATTTCTTATTGGCATTTATTGAATGCCCTGTACCTCTTTCTGTCAGTTCTCTTAATCTTGTGTTTGATTTGTTCTACTAAGGAACTGTATAACGGAATGGTGCAACGAAAAGCCAGAATGCCCTCTTTGCCGCACCCCCTTAACGCACTCAAGTCTAGTGTGCTTGTATCATTCAGACTTCTAGAATCTGCTTCTTGTCAGCAAAGGCCCTAATCCGCTATTTATTATCGATAAGGGAGGAATCGAAGGATATTTTTTCCTTGCATAGTCAAATATTACGATTGAAGGACGAGCATTTGTTGTAGGCATCCTCTAAAGCCAGAGGATGACTTTACCAAAATTGGTGAAATCCCACAATCTAGTAATCCAACTAGTTTACTTGTGCCATGTATTTTTTTATTTTCAGAAAGCAATTAAAATTACCTTCTAATAGCCCGCCATTATCAACATTCACTTAATTTCACCCGCGTTGAATCTGAAGTTCCTTCACCCTCCATATTGCTTCATCATCCACGTTGCAGAGTTCAGAGTTTTTGGTCTTACGTTTGAAATCACCAAGCCTGCCTGACATGGAAATAACACTTGAAATATGAACAGAGCCCAACAAATAAAAAAGAAAGAAAAGGAAAAGAGAAAACTTGCCTATTCAATGCTCGTCGTCAAAAGCTTGGAAGAGTTTCAACTGAAGCAGAGGAAAGTGAGAAAGCCGGAATGGTAAAATGGATGAACTAAGCGGCCATCTGTGGCTGATGGTTACCATCAGAAGCTGCCGTGAAATCTCTGAAGATTTGTTAACAGGTTATGGGCTGTCTTCGTTTGATGTGTTCTAATATCGCTGACAAATGCGCGAATGTATATGACTTTAATTTCAAGGAATATGGCAGCTGAATGGAAGATGATTAGTTTGAGCTTCGAAATATAATAAAATAATAACACCATATGTTGCCGAGGGTCATGATGAGGATAGGTCATAGTTGGATTAAATGAATGGTCAGATTTCATCGACTGTATTTGGTAGGTCATCTCTTTAAAGTAGTGGATCCATATCCTGTGATTGGGATGATGAATCCCTTGGGGTGGGCCTCAACCACGGCGGTGGTCGCGGCAACCTGCAAGTTATGCAGCTTTGTGGGCTCTATACTACATAGATTTAAAATATATAGCAGTATGATAATTTTATTGCCAAATTATGCTTGATCATGGTGGAAGATTTTAATCCTACAAGGGTAGCAAGAATTTTAAGAATCATGTTGAACAGTTAAAATCAACTAAAAGTCAGCTAGTTCAATCAGAAAACTAATAAATTGATTTCGAATTTTGTAGAACAAGTTAAAAAGATTATCGATCAAAAATTAAGTTATTCACTCAATTGGGTTAAACTTTTCTTTTAATTTTTTTTGTTATTATTACAATATGGAATTTCTCTTAAATAATTTTGATATCTTTATATATAATTATTAATTATTATAGATATATCTTTTCGGTCCTTTTGATTAATCACATTATAAAAATTTTTCTTTGTCCTGTATAAGTCACTTTTTCTTGTTTTTCTTTTTGTAATATTTAACGTACAATTCCAAAACTATCCTCTGGCAATTTCTAAAAAGAAGTGTAATATTTCAATTGATAAGAAAACTTTTTTCACATTTCAAATCACTCTATTTTAAATTTAGAAGCAAAATTGAAAAGTGATTTAATTTTAAGATAATTTTATTTTTCTAATTAATTCATCTTGATTTTGGTAAGTTGGTCAAAAGTAACTTATAAAAATGAAAGAGCATTTACTTAAGGAAGCGTTTAGTTTGAGAGGGTTTTGAGGGAGAGGAGAAGGGAGTGGTTTGAAGGTTTTGAGGGTGAGGGGGAGGGGGAGAGAAGGGGTCCATTTGGTTGAGAATTTTAGATTGTAGGAGAGTCAAAATGTTCCCTCCCCTCCCCTTATATTGCTCCTTTTTAAATAGTAGTTTTTTTTTCTTTTTTTAAGCGGAACCAAATTTTTTGAATGATCTACCCTCCAATTTTTAGTAATATTTCATAAATCTCTTTCATAGTGCTCTTCCATATATTTCATGGCACTAAAAATTGGATTAATCTTTGAATTGGCTGAAATAGCGATTCAATCAAGAGTCAAATTGATCATGATTAAACTAATAAAATTTAATTAAAATATACAAAAATATTTTTATCTGACTATGTAAAATATTTAGATAAAAAAATTAACCCTATAAATATTATATAAAAATTGTATATTTTATAAGATAAAACTAGATTTATATCCCCTGCAATTTGTTTTTGAAAATAAAAATTAATATTAAAATTAATATTAAAAAATTATTTTAATATCCTTAAACTAAAATATATTACTTTTCCTTTTATTTTATCTTAATTGTAAATATTTTTTTAAAAAAATTGATACAAATCCCTCTTAAAATTAATAATTAAAAGCTACAAAATACAAATATATCTTTTACTTTTAAGTTTTTATTTTACCAATTTAATCATTAGTTAACAGTTAAATCACTTGGACTAAGATCATTCTTGATGTATTTTTTAAAATTTTTATTTATATTATAAATTTATCGGTCGTACCACCTAATTTATTTAGTGTTTTTTTAAGTAATATTCATTTAATAGATCGCAATAAATAAACTAATGAACTATATAAAATAAGAAGGAAGTAGAGGTGCGTCTCAATGGTACTGGTTCAGTTATTATAAAACTATATGCGCCGGGGGAAGCTTTTTAATTGAATGAATTTTATTTTATAATTTTTAAATTATATATTTAGCTTATAATTAAATTTAAGGAAGTTTAATGGAGTTTTAGGGGAAAATAGTTTTATAATTAAATTGTACTTTATATATATATAATATATATATATATATAAGGATATACCAGTAAAATAATTATTACCTCATTTCCCTTCCTAAATCAAACAAAAGTTTATTAAAAATCCCTTCCCTTCAAATAAAACCAAACAAGATATCATTAATGTTGTGTTTAACTTGCAAGGGAAACTAAGAGGAAGAAAAAATTAAGAAAAGAGAAAGCAGAGGATGCTATTTTCTTATATTATGCTTGGCTGAGTAAGAAAAATTAAACTATTGTTATTAACCTTATTATTTATATGGATAAAATTTATTAATTTTATATAGACAATAATAATCTTATTATTTATAAAAATATTTATATATTCTTATAATAATTTCTATCATATATAATTATTGATTGAACAAAAATATATCTACAAATTATTTTATCCAATATTAACAAAAAATTATTTTATCTAATTTAATAATTTAAAAATTAAATATATTGGTTGTTTAACAAAAGTCTATAATCAAAATATAACTACCCTATAAATATAAAATTTGAAAATTAGTGGATAAATTTGAAAATAAAATTTTATCTTTAAAATATCTTCATATTTAAAGAGAAAAGTTGAAGGTCCTATATGTTATTTTTCTCAACTTTTTTCTCATATTCACTTTTTTCATACCCAAGCACCAATAAAAAAAAAACTATTTTCCCCTCATTTTTCTTCTTCTTCCACTTTTTCCCCCCTACAAAGTATAATATAAAATCTAAAAACATGTATGGAAGGGCGCTTTTTTTTTTTTTTTTTTAACCTGACCATTGGGCATGGAGCCATTACTGACAGGGTTAGGGTTTTCTGATTGCCGTATGTACTAAAGACCTAAAGTACCGATCCGAATTGCACTGACATTGCATGACCTAAGCCGCCGCCGTCGCTGTCTCCCTCAAACGCTATACAATTAGGGTTAGTGATAGATAAGCTTCTTCTCCTTTTCTCTTCGGGGTCTCTACCCTAATGATGTCTGCAATATTAGTATCGAGCGGTGGTTCCCTTTGATTTTTCTGTGTAACTGTCTGTCTAATTTGATTTCTTAAATTCTGCTTGCCTCCGCCGACCGGAGGTTTGATGATCCGCATTTGGAGCGATCAGATTGATGCGGAACCTCACGGTTTTTCTTTACTTCCTAGGGACGATTTTCATCTCAGCATTATCTATATTCTATCTTTGACAATTGACCCATCGCTCTTGTTCATAACGATTCTTTCCAGGTTATCCTTGATTAAATTGTTTTGTACACTCTTTGATCAGTTGCATCCGCTGGTCGGAAGTCATCTTTACAGCGAGTTGGTTGTTCATAAATACCTATCTCGCGTCTAAGGATGACAATAGTGTCTGGAACCACTGGCGCTGTGTAAGCTATGAAATGAACTTTTCGCTTCTCATTTGCTTAGATTCCGGTGGTAAATTTCATATTAACCTTTTTCTTTCTGGCGACCTTGTTAAAAGTTTCCACGTGGACGCGAGACCAATGTGTTGCTTCTTGATGCCTTTCTTTCCCCTCTTCCTCCCATGAAATTTTGTAGATGCTGTTTCGGGTTTTAGTTTTGTGGGGGATTTTATTTGAAAGCTTGTGCTGGGAACTTGGGGGAACATATTCTCAGAATTCGTCCGTTGAATCCTGCAATTTCAAAACCATCTCTTTATCATATCGGAGAGAGGCTGACACAAGATGTGAGTGCTTAATACACACGACTTGTGTTTTGTTTGCACACGCTGTTAACCTTTGAGGATGACATAATAACATCCTGTGGAGGGATTTGGATTGACTTGTGTATTGTTTGCACACGCTGTTAACCTTTGAGTTCAGAGCATTACTACACCCTCGTGGCGTCAGTCATTGGCCTTGGGGGATTCTTTGTTATGAATTATGATGCTCAAACTAAAGGATTGTTTGGAGTTAGTCAGGCTTCTTGTGCTACTCTACAAGTGCTTGGAGTTTGGAATATACTCCTACATATCAATTGCTATATACATTTGCCTTGGCAAATGCTTTTGCTATTGAATTGATTACTACAGGTGTGCTATCTGGTATAGAAAATTCTCAAATCGTTGACAATGAAACGAGCATATAGTTGCTAGCGAAACGTTAAAAGACACGAATAGCGCTATTGTGAACTTATTGGTCTCTTGCCAGGCGTTGTCTGATGAGAAAGACCAAGTTTGTTGTAGAATATGCAGAATAAACATTTCAAAGCTAAAATATCTGTCAAGAAGTACAGCAGTGGTAGAGGATGTGGTTCAGAAATCTCAAGTCGAGACAGATATATAAGGCAAATGAACTAGTTTTGGTCGTCGGAAACCTGTTAGCAACAATTAGAGCATAGTTCTACAGCTCTGAGGGAGGCAGGAGATGTGTTGTCATGATTCCGTGGACATGTTGACCTTGTTTCTTCCATGGTTCGGAGTTCGAGGCTTTCTTCCCATAAACTCTAGCGAGATGCTACGTGGATATTCGAGTTTCAGCCAAGATCACCAATGTTATTTAGCCTCTTTGGTCCAAGGTGCTCACGGA